GTGCTGAGTTGTATATCTTTGCATTTTAGATTATTTTCTAGTTCTTTCGTAGCCACCCTCTCCATTATTAGTCTTCTTATGGTTTCCTGGCTGCAGTTCCCATTTCTATCAATATTTGATCCCAGGTATAGTATTTGCAGTTCAAGGAGGGACATTTAGAATATTTAGCCACAGAGCTCTTAGGCCTCACCGAACTACAAACCCCAAAATGCAACAGGAGGCAGCCAGAACAGTTAAAGTGGAATAGCAGCACTTTAAGAGTGTAGTGCGATAATCTAGTACGACTCTGGAGACCAGGGTTTGAATTCCATGGCTCGGCCTTGGAAGCCTACCGGGTGACCTTGGGCAAGTCACACTCTCTCAGACTCAGAAAACCCCGCGACAGTTTCGCCTTAGGGCCCTTTCCTTTCGCCCCTCAGTCTCTCAAATGGATGCATCGGGGCCCCCTCACTGGCACGTTTCCATGGCAACCCTGGGAAAGAAGAGGGCGGCCTCTTCTCTTCACCGCCCTATAGAGGCAAATACCGAGCGACGACGCCCCAAAAAGAACGGAAAGGAACGGACCCAACTACTTCCCTCCCCCTCAAAACTACTACTGAAAACTTTCTCACCTTGAACATAGCAGCGGGGACAGCGCTGGTCTTGAATTACGGCGCAGCCGCGATGACGTAAAACACCAAGCGCCACACACAAATCCCCGGATGGCGCCTGGCTAGGACGCTTTAGGCACCGTTCGGAAGGCGGGTCCTGGCGTCACTTCCGGTCCATCGGCGCGTCCCGGTATCTAGGCAACCACGGAAAGAAGGGAAAGAAGGCCTCGGAGGGAAAAGGGCTGAAGGATGTCCCGCATTATTCGGTTTGTCCCGAGCGAGGATGAGGATGAGGATGAGGACCCGCAGGGAGACGGAGCGAGGCAGAGGTAAAGGCGAAGAGGAGGAAGGAAGGGAGCGGGGCTTTGCGCTCTTGGGGTTTACAACAATATTTGGTTGTTGTGTGCCTATTTCAAGTCGTTTCCGACTCTTAGGGCAAAAACCTATCATGAGGTAACCTTGGTAATATTTGTTCAGAGGGGTTTTTTTGCCATTGCCTTCCCCTGAGGCTGAGAGAGTGTGACTTGCCTAAGGTCACCCGGTGGGTTTCCATGGCCAAGCTGAGATTCGAACCCTGGTCTTTAGAGCTAGGGCTCCTCTATTAGATCCTGGTGGCAGTGCGATATGTCCACATAGATCATAAAAATGGACCATTCCACAATGTCAGTGGGATTTAGCTGTTGCAAAAACAGCCCGTCACGTACTGCACCGATGCTTCAGTACTTTAGTAGTTGTGTGTTGTGTGCCTTCAAGTCGTTTTCGAACCTGCCATGAGGTTTTCTTGGCCAGAATTGATAAGTTTGCCATTGCCTTCCTCTGAGGCTGAGAAAGTGTGACTTGCCCAAGGTCACCCAGTGGGTTTCCATGGCCAAGCTAGGAATCGAACCCTGTTCTCTTGAATCACAGTCCAGCACTCAAAACCACTACGCCCCACTTATGTGAGTCAGAAGTTACGAAAATGTAGATTTCCCGAATGAAAGTGCTGTGTGACATTAGCAATAACAACAATATCTATTTATAATGCTCTTTCCAGCAAAGGTCGGAGCTCTGGAGACCAGGGTTCAGTCCCTGGCTCAGCCATGAAACACACTGGGTGCCCTTGGGCAGGTCACACTCTCTCACCCTCAGGGGAAGGCAATGGCAAGCCTCCTCTGAACAAATCTTGCCAAGAAATCACCATGATAGGTTCACCCTAGGGTCGCCATAAGTTGGAAGTGACTGGAAGGCACACAGCAACAACAACAAATGAAAAATGTGATAGTCCCTGGTCAAAAAGGGAATTTAAAGGCATTCTTTCTCCCTGAGATCCAGCCATTGCATAGAGACCTAGTAGGCTGTTCAGACTACTTTATGATGGCACCAGGCTCCCTATAAGGGGATGTGGGGAGGCAGATCTAGAGGAGATTGGATCCCAGAAATGCAGGTAATAGTGATCATTAGCCAAATACAAAAAGGACTGCAAGAAAACTGGTGAGTGGCTCTTGAGTCAATCAACCAGAGACTGCTAGTCCTTACAAATAAAATCTCTAAATTCAAGGATGCCATGAATGAGGCACTGCAGTTAAGGCTCTCCAATGACATAAAAGTTTAAGAAGTACAAAGTGGGTACTTTAGATCTCCAAAATAAAATGGAAGATTTGGAAAATTGAAGCTGGAAGAAAAAATTAAAGGTGAAAGGGGTCCCAGGGCATGAGAAAGAGGGGAAGCTTACTGAAATGATCATGACTTGATTAAATTATTTAAACCTTGCCCTTCAGCTTTCTCTTTCTGATTTTGGGAGAATTTATCAAAATGTTTGTCCTAAACCAATACACACACATACCCCAAGATACCTTGTTGAAATTTCTAAGCTTCTTGGAAAAAAATAGATGTAAACAACAAGGATAAATCTTTAAAATTAGAATTCAAGGGACTATGAATTTTATTAAAGTATTTTAAGAGCTAGAATTAATAATAATAATAATAATAATAATAATAATAATA